TGACCAAAAGGCCATAGTATGGCAGACTGTTACGATGATTGATCTAGGCAATCTAAATGTTATACATTTTGATAAAAATAGCATTTAATAATTATTGGAAACATTGTCTTAGATATATGAGGCCTTTTAAAAACAACTCATGTAATTCTGGATGACGTGCCTATTGTGTAGTGACTCAGGGTTTTCAACACCAATTATATTTCTAGTTTTTGTTTTTATAGGTCCTGTACTCAGAATAAATTTGTCCACATAAAATAAGTGGGTGGGAAATGAGGCGGTGTCAGTCAGTTCTCTGACTGAATTCTGTCATCTGTCATTTGCTGACAGTTCCATTCACTCCTAAATATTTGTTGAAGAGAAGGAACTGGGGACCATCTAATTTGCAAAAAGACTTATTACCTAGACATATCAATGTGGAATTACTCAGTGTATTGGATGTATACTAAAATACTTGATCAAGGTTTCAGGTGATCATGTTTGTTTCTCTTGGAGATGCCTTGTTTGACTCCGTATACCTAAAAGATTGGGAAATATCTAAACGCTCTGAGTTTTAAAATATACCTTTGTCAATAAAATATTTAAATAGCCTTATCACTTGCATTAAATACGTTTTGTCAAAATCTTTGGGGCCTATATGGTCTGCAGAAAATATCTCCCATTAAAACCTGACTTGATAGTTCTTACTGTCAAACCAGTTAGTTTACAAAAATTTTTTGCAAAACAAGCTTGTTTCAATTTTCCTTAACATTTTATTATGAATATTTCAAGCATTATAGAAAAACTGAAAGAATTATTGTAAAGTGAAAATTCCCTGGGAGCCAGTGGCTCAGCCTGTAAGCCTAACTACTCAGGAGGCTGAGATCTGAAGACTGCAGTTCAAAGCCCCTGGGCAGGAAAGTCCATGAAATTCTTATCTCCAGGTAACTACCAAAAAACTAGAATTAGAGCTGTGGCTCAAAGAGGTAGAGTGCTAGCCTTGAGCAAAAGAGCTCAGAGACAGTGCCCAGACCTGAGTTCAAGCCCTTATGACTGACAAGAATAAAAAGGGGGGCTGGGAAAGTGGCTCAGTGGTAGAGCGCTTGCCTTTGCATGCATGAGGCCCTGGGTTTGATTCCTCAGCACCACATAAGCAAAAAGAAAAAAAAGCCGGAAGTGGCGCTGTGGCTCAAGTGGTAGAGGGCTAGCCTTGAGCTGAAGAGCTGAGGGACAGCGCCCAGGCCCAGAGTTCAGGCCCCATGACCCAACCCCCCCAAAAAATAAAATAAAAACTATGACAAAGCTTTTTGTCATAGTTGCTTTATCAGGTATCAGGTAACCATGTATTTTTCTCTTACCCATTTATCAGTTTTTTGTTTTTTGGTTTTTGTCATGGGGCTTGAACTCTGGGCCTGGGCACTGTCCCTCAGCTCTTTAGCTCATGGCTAGTGTTCTAACACTTGAGCCACAGCGCCACTTCTGGTTTTCTGGTGGTTTATTTAAGATAAGAGTCTCACAGAGTTTCCTGCCCAGGCTGGCTTTGAACTGACAGCCTCAGATCTCAGCCTCCTGAGTAGCTAGGATTACAGGCATTAGCCACCAGTGCCCAGCTTATTTTTATTATTCAAAAGTTAGACATGTGCAATTCACTCCTAAGTATTTTAGCATACATAAAACTAGTGTTAGACATTTGTTTACAGCTTTCTGTAAGATTTATGTAGAATGAAACATCAACTTTTAAGGGTATTGTTAGATACATTTTGAGAAATGTACAAATTCAACTCCCATGCAGAACTTGGAGCCAGACATGGTGGTACATTCCTGTAATCCTGGGTCCTTAGCAGATATGAAGGAGGACTGAGGCTCAAGGCCCCTCACTTAAAGTTAGTGAGAGGCCCTATCAGAAAAACAAACCAAAAGAAGAAAAACGAAGGCCATGGCTTAAGGGGTAGAACACTTGCCTTGCAAATAGGAAGTTCAGAGTTCAAGCCCAGTTCCATACACAAAGGAAATATTGACTATAGGCTGGGGCCATAACTCTGTGGTGGAGCATTTGCCTGTAATGCACAAGGTCCTGGGGTTTTCTATACTTACATATGCAAACACACACGTGCATATGCATGCATGTTTGCACACTGACACTATATATATAAATATATATGTGTATATATATATATATATGTATATATATATATCTAGGAATTCAAGTGGCCATAAACATGTGCTCGTGTATCTTTCAGTCATGATCGAGGCTTGGCCGTGTCTCACCTGGCATTTCTTTGTTGCTGAGCACTATTGCAATGTGCCCTTACAAACCATGTTGTTCTATCAGCCTTTGCATGGGTTCACTAAACTTTGGCAGTTACAAATAAGTTATTATCACTAACCATTCTTGTGTGGATCTTTTTCATAGGAGCAGAACTGCTAGGTCTTAGGATAGTATGTGTTTAGTTGTATTTTAAAAACCCAGCAGGCCTTTTTCCAAAGCAGTTGTACCATTGTATGGGGATTGATAGAACTTCTGGTTGGCAGCAGCACATGTTGAAGAATGTGGAGCAGTCCTTTTGGTCTTAGCTGTTTGGCAGCCGTGTTGTCTCAAAGTTTAGATTTTTGGAGCAGAGGTTGAAGGTACACACCCATAATCCTAGCAATGTGCAGATTGAGGTAGGAGGATTATGAATTTGAAGTTAGCCTGTGCTGCATAGGGAAGTTCTGTCTTCAGAAAAAAACTTCTGAGCCTCAACAAAATCAGAATGTTGTCAGGTGATGGCATGTACATGAAGCTGCAGAATGGGCTTCGTGCACACAGGCCTGGTGAGCCTGGAAGCATCAGAGGTTTTAACCACTCATTCCTTCTTCCTTTTCTTGTCTTTCTGTGCTGGTTCTGGGGTTTGAACCTGGGGCCTGGGTGCTATCCTAAAGCTTTTGTGCTCAAGCTAGGGCTCCACAACTTTGAGCCACAGCTTCACGTCTGGCTTTTGGTAGTTAATTGGAGATAAGGGTCTCCTAGACTTTGTTGCCTCGGCTGGCTTTGAACCATGATCCTCAGATCTCAGCCTCCTGAGTGGCTGGGACTATAGGCATGAGCCACCAGTACCTAGCATCTGCTCTTGTCTTTTAGTAGCAAGTAAAGCTAATGATTAGGTTATCTCTACTTGGGGTATGAGGATGCTGTGACTTTGGAGGAGGAAGGGAATGGCTGTCTCAAGACATAAGATGTCCTGAGATTAGTGTCGAGCAGGCATATATATATATAAAATATAGCTATATAATCATTATTAACAGTAATATTCTTTCCTACTTAATGGGGAATAGGCACTTTTTTGCATGCTTTCAAGGGAAGCATAATATGTAGGGGTTAGTTTTGAGTTGCATGCATCCTTTGCAAAGAGAAGCGGGAGGGGGTGGCCTGGGAGAGGGTAGTCCAGTGTGGATGAGTTCCTGCCCAGACTGTGCGGTAGTGAACACAGCTTAGATAAACACAGACAGGGAGCAGGCAGAGTGTCTGCAGCCAGACAGGAGTATTGTGAATGGATGACACAGCAGGAACGCTACAAAAATAAATCCTCTGAGGGGAGGAGTCCTTTGTATGGACTGATGGCTCCCCTTGTGCTCCGGTGCTCTGTGCGCTGCGCCTGAGTACATTCAGGTGTGCTGCAGGGGCCTCTGCCAGCAGTCCCCAGGCTAACAGCATTGACCCCTGTTCTGCCTGGCTCAGGGGCTCCCCAGGCGGGCTGGCCCCCTCTTCTGCTTGCTGGTCCTTGCAGCAGGAGAGCAGGTGGATGATGTGAGCGGGCTTCCTGCCCAGCTTAGGACCATCGCTCTGCCTGCCCACCCCAACCCTATGAAGAGGAAGCCCAGGGCCAGGGCAGGGCAGAGCCTGGTGCAGGCACTGGGGAGGAAATAACGGTCTAAGAAAGTTGGGCTTCTTAGACCCTGCTGCTGAGGCCGTGCATGGGCACAGCACAGGTTCTTGGTTCTCAGTAAGGGCTTGGAACGGCCTGGCAACTGAAGGTGCCAGGGACCCCACTGGGCACTCACACCCTGAGGGCCTCCGAAGGGGCAAAGGCAAAGAGAGCCAGTGTGGCCAGAGTGGGTAGAACCGTCCTCGGGAGGCTGTTTCTCCTGCTGTGGTCTGTCAGGCATTGCCCCCGAGAGCACAGTCCTCATTATACAGGGAGGAGGTGGCAGGAGGGGAGATGTTGGGCTCCTGTGTTTGCTCACTAGTGCTCACCCTCTTGGTGTGTGGGAGCCTGGGAGGGAGGGGCCCCGAGGGGGAGCAGCCCCTCCCCTGCGTGCCATGGGGCTTGTGCACCTGGCCCTGGAGGTGCAAGTGTTTCCTCTGCACAGGCCAGCCACTTTTCTCTATGATGAGCCTGGAGCACCAGCTGCTGTCCCCAGGGTCCGAGTGTGCCTGTTCCTGGGTGGGAGGCCCTGCTGGGCCGGGGCTGCTCCGAGCTGGCCAGGCTGCAAAGCCAGGGCTTGTGCCAGCGGCTGGAAAGCCTCCAGGACTAGAGTGTTTTGGGGTTTGGGGGTGGAGGGCCGAGGGAAGGGTGGGGCGGGGTTGAGCCGTGCTAGCGGGGTTGTTGGCTAGGCTCTAGCCTCGACACAGGGAGCAGACAGGACTTTAGTGGCACCTGAGGGCCGCTTGGCCACCATTGCGACTCCTCCCGCAGGCAAGTCTCCTCCCTGCATCCCTCCTGCTCCTCCCCCGCCAGTGAGGGACGCGCTCCTTCCTCGCAGCGCAGCGCAGCGGCGGCGGCGGCTGATGTCACTGGCAGCGGGCAGCATCAGCAGCCTGGTCACATGCTGCCCGTCTGTAATGCAGACGGGATAGGGGTGTGTGTGGGGAGGGGGCTGGACAGCCAGGCTTCTGCTCCAACACCCCCAAAAGTGCAGAGGTGGCGGCCACAGCATCCAGCCAGCTCCTGGACCCAGGGAAACTGTCATTAGTGGTATTTACTGTGGGTAATACCGGGGAAGACAGCTCTTAACTCAGGTTTCTACTGTCCTCCTGTCCAAAGCAGACTTCCAGGACTCTGAAGAAGCAGTTCCGAGCAAGATGCTCTTCCCCACCTCTGCGCAAGAACCTTCCCATGGCCTCCCAGATGCAAATGACTTGTGCCTTGGCCTGCAGTCCCTCAGTCTGACGGGCTGGGACCGGCCCTGGAGCACGGACGCAGACTCCTCAGCCCAGAGCAGCACACACCCGGGTGAGTGCCAGAGAATGAGGTGGCTGGGGGAGGGGTGCATGGGGTGATGAGCAACAGTTGTGCTATTCCCCTTGGAATCACACACACACACACACACACACACACGGAACAGTTTTGGGAGAGATGGAAATGCTGGCTGTGAGAGAGGCTTGTACAGGAAGGCATGGCTTTGCCACTGCCCTGATAAATTCCCTGGAGTTGTTAGCCTCCACCTGGGCCAGCCCTGCGCAGGGTCCCCTTACACAGCAAGAACCAGCCAACCCCCGTGCCCAGGCCCATCTTGGAGATGATGAAGCAAAACACTTTTAGGTGGGGGAGGGGACTTTCAGGCTGACGACTGGATGGCCAGATTCTGTTTCTCAGTGGCTTTTAAAACTGCGGAGCTGTCTGTGAAAGGCAGTGGTCTCAGTGGTGGCCTAGGAAGGATTTCCACCTCTGGTGAGGCTGGATAATTAACTCTGGGACCCAGGGATCAGTTGACTAGGTGAAGAGCCGGGTCCTGGAAAGGAGTAGGCACTGAGAACAGGGTGGAGTAACTCCTGCCCTCAGAGGCCTTTTAAAGATTCCTCTGTGTCATGGACACCCAGATGTGAAGCCAGGCCTCTCCCCTGGCCTCTTCCTCCCTTCCCCTGTCTCCTTCCTCATCATCTTGGCATGGTTTGGTGGGGTCAGGCTGAAGGGACTTGCAAGTCTTGAGCTGCTTCAGCTAGCTCTTCCCATCACTTGTGCATCTCCTCTGCATTACTAAAAGGAGGATTGGCCAGATAAAAGTCCTAAGATATTCAGAAGAAATGTGAACTGAAAAGCTATAGTTATATCATGTATACTTCAATATGCATATTTTATTTTATGTAAATTCCATAATCAAGTACTGGCCACAGATTCTATGAGAAGGCAGAGAGGTTGGGGTGGGGTACCTCTGTCCTTCTGGTACTGCTGGTGGGGTACCTCTGTCCTTCTGGTACTGCTGGTGGGGTACCTCTGTCCTTCTGGTACTGCTGGTGGGGTACCTCTGTCCTTCTGGTACTGCTGGTGGGGTACCTCTGTCCTTCTGGTACTGCTGGTGGGGTACCTCTGTCCTTCTGGTACTGCTGGTGGGGTACCTCTGTCCTTCTGGTACTGCTGGTGGGGTACCTCTGTCCTTCTGGTACTGATGGTGGGGTACCTCTGTCCTTCTGGTACTGCTGGTGGGGTACCTCTGTTCTTCTGGTACTGCTGGTGGGGCACCTCTGTCCTTCTGGTACTGATGGTGGGGTACCTCTGTCCTTCTGGTACTGATGGTGGGGTACCTCTGTCCTTCTGGTACTGATGGTGGGGTACGCCTGCTGTCCTTCTGGTACTGATGGTGGGGTACACCTGCTGTCCTTCTGGTACTGATGGTGGGGTACACCTGCTGTCCTTCTGGTACTGATGGTGGGGTACCTCTCTCCTTCTGGTACTGCTGGTGGGGTACCTCTGTCCTTCTGGTACTGCTGGTGGGGTACCTCTGTCCTTCTGGTACTGCTGGTGGGGTATGCCTGCTGTCCTTCTGGTACTCCTGGTGAGGTACGTCTGCTGTCCTTCCTCATATCCCCGGTCCAGGAGCCAGCTGTCATGGTACCGAGGTACTGCCATGGAGATGCTCTGGCCTCTACCCTGTGGCACAGTTCTTTTCTTTTAGAATTCTTTGCAGAACTGGCACTCTTATGTCTGTTAGGCATTTTAATACCTTTTTAAAAAAGTAAAATCCATTTGGGGTAGAAGAATTTGATTTTATTTGTGGGTCGGGGACAAACTTTGCTTTAACCCAGGATAGTGGGGGGCTCTCTTGAGTACTGGCCACAGCTGACTCAGGCTCTTCTGGGAAGGTTGCTAACTGTCCTGTTTTCTAGGCCTGGAAGTATGCCATGCCTGTTTCTGTCCTCAGCCTGGACCTTGGTTTGGAGGGCCATAATCATGTGTGTGAAGCCAGCCTTACCCCTCCTCACTCAAAGGGGAGGCATAGGAGATGGACATGTGTTTGTGGGTTGCCCATGGTTGACCCAGCACTTGGGCTGGCATTCAGGAGGGGCATGGCCCTTCTTTGGTACTGGCTTCTTTTAGATCTAAGGGTCCTTTGAGGCTCATAGAAATTCAGGGGTGGCCGGGCACCGGTGGCTGTCATTCTAGCTGCTCAGGAGGCTGAGATTTGAGGATCACGGTTCAAAGCCAGCCCAGGCAGGTAAGTCCATAGGACTCTTATCTCTAATAAACTACTCAGAAAACTGGAAGTGGCACAGTGACTCAAGTGGTAGAGCACTAGCCTTGAGCTGAAGAGCTGAGGGACAGCATTCAGGCCCAGAGTTCAAGCCCCATGACCAGTAGAAAAAAAAGAAAAGAAATTCAGGGTATACAGCATCAGATTGAGAGAGCTTGGCCTCAAAGTTACTGGGAATTGGGTGATTAAAAAAAATAACTTGTCTGGGGGCTGAGAATGTGGCTCAATGGTAGAGTGCTTGCCTATGCGCATGAAACCCTGGGTTTGATTCCTCAGTACCACATAAAGCCGGAAGTAGTGCTGTAGCCTAGCTGGGTACAGTGTTAGTCTTGTGCTAAAGCAGGTCATGGACAGCGCTCAGGCCCTGGCTAAATAAATTTAAAAAAGAGAAATAACTTGCCTGGGAGAGGAGTAAGAGTATTGCTTGTGGAGACTGCCGGGAGCTTGTGGCCAGGCTGGGTGGCACAGCAGGACCCAAGCTTCAACAAAAGCAAAAAGGCCACATCTAGCATCGTTTCCCAGCTTCTCTACCACTTGAAATGCCCGATCTTTTTTATTCATCTATTTATTTCTGAGGTGGGGATGATTTTTCTTCACTTTCCATTTCAAATACTTTGATGACAAATTTTACATGATTTTGTGGCAATGTGAAGACTACAGACTGAGTCTCAAAGTTCATAAGGACCAGAAGAATCCCCCCCGTATAGCCATGGGGCTGAAAGCAGGGTTGGTGTGGGGATTTCTTCTTTGCTGGCAGTGAGGGACTCCTGCAAGGCCATCGGTGGCAGGGAGAGGCCCGGGCCTGTGGGAAAGCCTACCTCCTTAAGCTCTCCCACAGCCAGCTGCAGCACCAGACCGGCACGCGCGCCCATCAGCAGTCAGGAACACACCACGCTCATGCTGCCTCCCTTCTGAAGACCCGTCCATTCAGAGAGGGAGGAGATAATGTGCAGCTTGAGGAAGATATGGGGGGCGGTCCTGTTGTCTCTGTGGAGAGCCTGGGTGCTCACTTATTCCTCAGACTCTTGGGTGGTAGTGCCTTGGGCCGTATGGCTTCACATCTACCCTCTCCTACCACCCTAATAAAACATCTGACAGGGTGCAGAGTGCAGAGTTGAGTAAAAAGTTGGAAAATAGGAATCATGACCAAAGATCTTTGCTAAATTCATTCACAGACATTAGACACTGGCTATGTTCGAGCACTGTGTTGGGCCCTGGGGTTGCATCAGGGAATACTTTCCATGAGGGTCAAGGGAACATGGATAGGGAAGCAAGGATACTAGCTGCAGCCCCCCGAGGGCTCCCCTGATGGCACTTCAGATGGAAGCTGCCAGAGCCAGCATGTGCATGGTGCCATGGGCACATGGGTCCATCCCCACGTCTCAAGGAGATGTGCCTTCAGGACAAGGGTGGGCTTGGGTGTGGCACTTTGGGGTTCTCAGCCCTCACTAGACAGGAAGCCTTTCAGGCAAGTGTCAAATGTGTATGTTCTTGGAAACCCTAATGGCACCTGTCCAAGGTTACCTTTGTCCTTTTTTTTTTTTTTAAATCTGATATGGGGCTTGAACTCAGGGCCTGGACGCTGTTCCTAGGCACTTTTGCTCAAGGCTAGTTCTCTACTACTTTGAGCCACAGGCTTTACTTCCAGTTTTCTGGTGGCTTATTAGAGGTAAGAGTCTCCTGGACTTTCCTGCCTGGGCTGACTTTTAACCCCAGTCCTCAGAGCTCAGCTTCCTGTGTGGTTAGGATTATAGGTGTGAGCCACCAGTGCCCGGATACCTCTCCTTCTGTCTTGCAGTTATCTTAAGCCCTGTGGTAGCGGAGCTGTGGAGGCTCCCCTCAGCTTCCCGGGAAGGGACCAGTGACCAACAGGCACCATTTGTTGACTCCTTTTATGTTGAGCACATCCCAATACTTTAATGCTTGCACAGATGAGGGAATAGGCCCACAGAGTTTGCAAAGTGCCCAAGTGACACAGCTACTGGCCAATTTCATCCTGGTCTCCCTGGTTCTGAAACTCTCATGCTTCCTTTTGAACCTCTTCCTATGAACAGAACCCTGGCTTGCTGAGCCAGAAGGCTGGCTGCATCTCGGGCAGTGCCGGGCAGCAGGAGAGGCCCACGCAGTGCACATGGCCAGACCCGATGCCCCTCATAAGGCCTCCACTGTGCAGACCCCTGGGGGAAAGCGTTGGCTCCCTCTTGAGCCCTGACCTGTGCCACGGCCTGGGCTCATCTTTCTCCTCCCCCTGCGACTCCTGTGGGTGCTGCATTACTTGTAGGACAGCAGGGTGAGGCCAGACTCCACTGAAACAAGAACTCTCAGTGAGCAGCTGTGCAGAGGGAAGCCTGGGACAGACCAGATGCTCAGTCTAAGGTGCCAAGGACACCCGCTCCCTGAGGCATGGGTATGGATTAACCTCTCCATCCTCTGGTGGCTGCCCTGCCCACAGTGAATAGGGTGTGCTCTGGGAGGGAATGTTGTAGGTCTGCCCTTCAGCCCCTCCCAACCCCTTTTGAAGCAACATTCAAAACAGCCCTCTCCTGTGTGGAGCAGTGACTTTCGAGGCGCAGCCAGTTATCTAACCTGTTTGCATGCATTCCAAATTCTCCGCTGCTGCCCTCCTAGCATGCAGCACAGTGCATAGCTACAGATGATCAGTCACTCCGATGATCCTGGTGGGTTTTTGTTGTTTTTTAATTGGTTTGATTTTGTGATGCTAGATAAGAAACCCAGGATGTTGCAAATTTTGAATAAGTGTTCC